TTTACTTTTCTTTAAATTGATTTACCTTAATTATAGTTTCAAGCCATTATTAAGTACACAGGTAGCCCATTTACTTTGAACATGATTTTCTCTTTCCTATAATTTATTTCAAAATTTAGCTCTCTAAAACAGATTTGAAGGAAAAAAACTTATTTTAAACTCTTCCAGTATGTCAGGAAAGTCTCTGAGAGCTTCCTTGTTTAGAGAGAATTAAACTAGCAGAACTTTTTAGAATGCAAGCAACAGGAAGTAATTGTTCTTACCTTCTTCAGACTTGTACCTGACTTTTCAAAGAGAAAATGAATACCTATTTTTAGTCAAAAATACATAACAGCATTGTATTTTTTTCAGCTCTGGAAAGAGCACTTTGGTTCTCAAAACCCAAAGGAACTTGGGCTTCGCACGTGTTCGTTCATTTGACCTCACGAGAGGAAGTATCATTCACTTGTCCCCTACCCTACAAAGTCTTGCACTAGTGGGACACATTGAATACAATCAGGAAAAGGAAATTAAAAAATATGGAAAGCAACGGCTGACGGCGAGGAAAATAAAAGGAAAAAACACACTGGAAGTTATTTCACCCACTCAAATGTTCTTCATGTCTTTAAAACTTGTAAATGCTTTTTTGCATTTATCTAGACAAATCTTAGGGTCTTGATGCAACCCTGCAGCTTGATATGCTCCTGGAAGACTTGGGGGGTGAGGTGGGAATAAATCAGGAAGTAATTTAAGATATGAAGATTTTAAAGTACCTTTTTAAGGAATCAAACTACTTTCTGAAGACAGATTTTGCTTTTCAACTCAGTTCTGAATTGAAGGGAAACCTTCTGGGGTATGATTTAATTGCTTTGTAGGGAATGAGCAGTCTACTGGAACAACACTCTCCACAGAAAACCTTGGCTCTCACATTCCAAAGAGGGCTGGGAGGCCACTTTTGTGCCTCTTTGGCTTTTTGTTTCTTTGTGCTTTTTTTTTCTCTGTCCTGAAGTTGAAAGTAGACATTAAAAAGTAAAGTACTGATTCATAAAATGCTGAAATTCTACTGCAGGACCATAACTGCAGTTTCTCTGACATTTCGTCTTCAATATCCATCCCATTTCCACTCCCATGTGTTTTTATTTCTTGACTATCAACTATCTTTACTGCCATCAAGTACTAAAATCTGGCTTTCTGTCACTGTGAAATATTGGTCTCATACTTATGTAAAGTGTAAAACACTTTCTGCCTAATGGCCATCACTATGCCCACAATATTCATCACGTGTTCTGCTTTAGCATCTATTAGTCAATTTGAAAGAATATAATTAAGAATATTATAAGACCTTGATGGCTCATCGCCAAGACATGCAATCCAAAGCAATACAAAAGAAAACTTTACTTTGTATTTATATTCATTTTTCCACTACAAAATTAATGAAAATTCACTATGATTAGTGGTCTGGACTTTTGTTAGAACCCTCATCTTCAACAGCAGCTTTTTTGTCTTAATTCTTCTTTTAATGGTCAGTCCCTCTATCCAGATTTTCTGCTTTCATGGTGTTGTTGTTGCTGTTTTGGTTTACTGGATTTTTCTTTTTTTTTACACGTTGAAGGAATTCTTCTGCTCACTCCTCCTTTACAATATTTGCTTTATCATGTGTCATGGGGTGATATTCCACGATCTTGAGTGATTGTTTTCAAATGCCCATACGACAAACATTGTTTTTACTTGAGTATCTCTGAGAGGTCCATCTGACTCTCCTTTATGAATGTATTACACATTTAATGTGTTCAGACTTTGCAATTTACCCTCATAAAGCCCTTCTGTGATACAGAAATATTATTGACATTTTACAATGGAACAGAAAACGAGTCAGCTTATTAAGGTATCTAAATGCTTAAGGATGCCTTTTGGGATTTTCAAGGTTGCTCTGATATATAAGTCTTACTGAACTAATTGATGATTTTTCACTAAATGCCAAATTTGCATCTTTAGTTTTCTGGAAAGCTTTAAAATCTGACTCACTCGTGTCACCCTTGAAATCCAGTGGACCAGAGTGTTAAACCCACATTTCAGTAGCCCCTAAACTGGAGCTCGAAGCACGCAGAGCACTCCCCACAACAGGGGAAAACTGCTGAAATCTACTGAAAAACCTAAGAAGGAAGATGTGGCGCGCACCACGAGCATCCAGTTCCCTCCTGGCCGAGCCACCCAGGGAGGCACAGAGTGCATCAGATGTCAGCAAGAGAGGAGAGCATCTCCAGGGACCTGGCTGCTCCGTGATGGGACTGAGGGGCACCAGGAGCCCGAGCTTGGACACCAGCGCTGGTACCAGGCTCAGCAGCCCCTCGGCTCCCTCCCTCCCTCAGTTAGGGGTGGGTTTTTCTAACAGGTCCTGGCAGGGGACAGAGCCAAAATCCACGACTGGCTTTGGCCAAAGGCGCTGCAGAACTGTCTGTCCCCACCATGTCCCTGGGTTTAGGCGAGTGGTGACTTTATTTCAGAAGCACTTTTCAAAGCGCGTCCCCACGCATTAACCCCCGTACCACACCCAGTCGTGCACCTCTTCAGATACTTAACCGTGTGCTTTTCTCCACTCTGATGCTGCAGATCTTTTCAGGCTTCTGCTCTGGGTGGCCTAAGAGTTACCCAGTCTGACTAAAGCCTCACACCCAGCGGGGCACGAAGCTGCAACAAGGACAGGCAGCCTCATCTTTTGCCCAGTTCTGAAATAAGGAGACGCTGTCCTTCAGCACCACTTTTCCTCACATCCCTGTTTAAGCCTCTAGCGGCTGGAAAGGGAATGGATCAGCTGTCAGGGCTTTTTAATGCCGTTCTGCCCTTGTTAAGTCAATGAAACTCACTACATAAAAGCAAGCTGGGTTTGCTCAGCGTATTTCCTGCCCTTTCACTGTGTGTTGCTTCATTTTGGAAGATTTTGACATTGGAAGTCATGTGCGCTGTCTCCTTACAGCCCACAACTGAGCACCAGCTAAACAAACCACCTGCACAGCCAAACAGGGACAATAAATACATTTTAACACAGACACAGGAGATTAGGTAAATGAACAAATTCCTGCCTGGCAGAAGTATTTCCCAAGTCAGGGTTTATGGGTAACACGTTGCCAGCTAAGACCCTCTGAGACCAGCTGCAGCTGCAAAAAAATGAAAAGGTCCAGATTGAGGCCAATGGGAAGATGCTGCCTGCAGCAGAATTGCTCACTGCTGTTGCATGTTGGCTGCTGAAGGTTAGGGATTGCTGCTCTGTGTAATCGAGCAGGTTCACAACAACACCAGAAGGCTGTTGTATAATAACAGTTCAAGCAACACAGGTAGAAATAAACACACTTTCTTTTTTTAATCTTTTTTTTTTTTCCCTTCGTCTTTAGGTAGAGGTGATAAATTTTTACTGAGCACACCGTGTTTTAAAATCACTCCCAAACAGATGCCAGGTACTCTTTTTGCCCGAGGCTGATGAAAAAAAAAAAAAAAAGAAGCAGGTAGCTTCTGAAAGAAATCCGAAAAGCTGTTATCCAAGTGGCGGAGGTTAAAGTCTCCATATGCATCTCAAGTAGCTTCGTATCCAAAGTGAGCACTGACTTAAACAGACGGCTTTGGAATCATGACCTGATATACAAATACGTGCCTGATCCTTTAGTAAATGAAAATTACAGAAAATCACAGGTGTCTGTCTCTAAAAATTACTGCTTATATGAACAAAGTAATTAAATCTGCCTATATGAACCAAACAATTAAATTTGCCTACTTTTAAAGAATCCCTATCAAACATTGCATGAATCACTCCAATTTGAATATTTTAAGTAGTGAAAAGCCAGAGCGGCTGCAAATAGCTATGGATACAAGCAAACTGAATGATGGAAAATTCCTTATTCATTTATTGTGACAGCACATCTTTTTCCTCCACATTTTTTTTTTTTTTCACTTAGTTGTACTTGTTTTCTCCAGGCCTTCTGCATATACGAGGATTTGTCAGGAAGTTGCACTCTGAGTGTTACTTCAGGCTACCAAATTACAGGAAAGTATTTAAGAATAGAGTGTCGTTAGGCTGCCCTATGCTGAAGGGACTGATTTATTTCAGAGAATAATGAAGCAGTGAACACTGTGCTGAGATGACTGGCTGATCTAACAGCAAGGCTTCCCAGCACTGCAAATGTCTATCAACTTCTGCCTTAACTCACTAAATTTCTCCTCACACTGAGCAAGCTCAACTCGATGATGCAAAAATAAATACAATAAGCTCCGACTCTAAACTGCAATTTGCCTTTCCCTTGCGTCCAGAGACAGATCCTCAATCTTTTCACGTTTCTGTGCAGCTGGAGCTCAGCTTCCTTATGAGAAAGCTTCCTTAAGTTAAAGTTTTAAAGTAAGAGCGTTATGCCACGATAAACCTGACAAACCCACAGAAACCACCCCGGTGTGCATCCTGTCAGACCGACAGCTCCACATCTGCGACAGAAATGTGAGGAACGGGTTTTTTATCTCGCGACATACGGAAACAGGGGAGATGGGTTAAAACGCGTTCCGAAGCTAAACCGAGCTACGAAGCTCCCGGGCGCTTCACCCCGAGCTCCGCGAGTGCCGGGGGGGCAGCGGGGCAGCCCCGGCTCCCCGGCACTGCAGCACGGCGGCGGCTCCGGCCAGGGCGGCTCCGGCCAGGGCGGCTCCGAGCAGCTCCGCGCGAAGTTCCGCGCCCGCCCCCCGCGCTGCCGCACCCGCCGCGGGCTCGGGCTCCGCATCTCGGCCAGCCACAGCCGAGCCCGGCGGCACCGAGCCCGGACCGCCGTGCTCCCCCGGGCAGCGCCAGACAAACCCTCCTCGCCAGCCCCGCGGCACCGGAGCATCCCCCGCCAGCTCCTTCCCTGCGCGGCCGCCCGCTGCCGGCAGGCCTCTCCCCGCGGCTCCCGGCAGCCCGGGGATGCTCGGGGCAGCTCGCCCTCCTCCCGCGGCCGGGGCCGGAGGGAAGCCGCCGGTGCCCGCGCTCCCGAGGGCGGCGGCCGTACCTGAGTCGCTGAGGCGGGGCCGGGCTCTGTCCCGCAGGTAGTAGATGAAATCCCGGCAGTTCTCGTTCTCCACCGCCCCGACGGAGCACAGCTCGGCCAGCAGCTGCAGCGCTTTCTGGCAGATCTCGTCCTCCCTGTCGCCGGGCATCGCCCCGCAGCATCCTCGGGAGCGGAGCGGAGCCCCGCGGTCAGGCGCCGCGCCGCTGCCCGCCGCCCGCCTGCGGCCGCCGCGCCGCCGCCCGCATCCTCCTCAGCGGCGGCGCCCGCCCCGCCGGGCCGGGCCGGGCCGGGCCGGGCCGGGCAGGGCCGCTCTCCCGCTGCCGCGGCCGGGGCCGCACGGGGGTCCCACCACTTGAACGCGAGGGCGGGGAGCGCCGAGCCGCGGCCGCCCAGGCGCGCTGGC